TAGCTGCACCCCCCCTCGCCAGCGCTCACCCTTTTCTTCCTCCTCCTCGAAACCTTGCTCCAGGGTGTCGCCCACCCGCCGGAAATACCCGAGAGTGGGGCCGTCCAGGCGGGAGAGCTCCTGGTCCCTGTCCCCAGGCCCAGGGCCAGGCCTTTCCTTCTTCTTCTTCATTACCTTCGGCCCCATGTAAATCTCAGAGACCTGACTAGCTCTTGGCCCCCACCCCAACCCCCTGCTGTGTGTTTATTTTTTATTATATCTCTCGCTGTCCCGTTCCCGGAGACAGGGAGTCCCACACCAACACGTTTCAGCAGGGCCAGGGTGACACCGGAAACGGTCCCGCTGCCGAAACGTTTCCCCCGCTCCGGAACCAAACACCCGGCCGGAAGTCCGTCCGTCGGCCCCTGCGCCCCGCAGCCGTCCGCCAACCCGCGGCCTGCATTCTGCACACGTGACTCACGCGCCCACCCCACCCACACTGCAAACCCGGAAGGGAGCCCACCTTGGTAAAGGAGACGCCCGTGGCGGCTCCATCCGCCATCTTTTGTCGGGATAGCGGGCGCCGCGTCCACCATCTTTGTAAAGGTGGAGCGGTGTACGCCTGAATGCGCTGCGCCCGCCATCTTAGTCAAGGCGACGCCGCCTTCGTACAGCCGCTTGTGGGGTGGGTGGGAAGAGGAAGGCGCCATGTCTGTAAAGGGTAAACAAAGCCGATGTCCTTCTTCCAACCATCGTCGCTGCCATCTTGGTAAAGGGGCAAGATACTTTAGGTGCTGCAATTTCAATTTTTAAAGAAAGTACTATAGGGAAATTCCGCAGAACTGCGAAGGGATAAGCTCAGGGTCATATTATTCCAGGAAAACAAAAACTGCCTTTACTTTAGAAAAGGAGGGGCCTCCACATTTCTGAACTCTACTTTCATTCTGAGAGCTGGTTCCAAATGCAGAACTGTCCAGGACAGCCAACCTACTGTCCCCTTGCATTCTGAAATTGAAACTTCCTGGCAGCCAGTTTCACTGGCAAAAAGCAAGTTTCACGGGAGGGAGAATAGTGACAAAAACAGAAATTGCTGGAAAAGTTCAGCAGGTCTGGCAACATCTGTGGAGAGAAATCAGAGTTAACGCTTCGGGTCCAGTGTCCCTTCCTCAGGGGGGAATAGTGTGCCAGGTGGGTAACGTACCACGGTGGAGGAAGGAGATGAAGATGCCAGATGGTTAGGGGAGAGAGCGGTGCTAAGAAGGATGCCAGCTGGAAGTGGGGCAGCATGTAAGGTGCCAAGAGGAGAATGGCAGAAGAGTAGGGGCTAGAATGCCAAGTTACTAGGGTGCCAGCTGGAAAGAAGAGAGCATACCTAGGATGGTATGCCAAGTGGAATGAGGTCGGGTGCCTGACGAGGGGAGGGGAGGGAGAGGAGAGGAGAGTAAGTGTTATGTCTGGTCCAACAGGTTGGGGGTCACTCAGATAGTATTAACTCAAATTGCAAGGAAAGCTGGTTCATATCTTGAGCGAGGGAGAAGTGGGATGTCAGGCCAGTGTCTGCGTGCTTATAAGGTACACAGGGGAGATATGTGAGATGAGTATGGAACCTGATTAGTTATTCAGGAGTTTGACTATGTATTTAATAGCATTACAACATGGATGCAGACAGCAGAGTCAAATCAGCCTCCTGACCTCCATATTCGGGACACAGTACAATTAAAACCTTCAACGACTCCTTCATTGATCAGTGCATTGGATACAGGAAATGGGATGTCATGGTGCAACTGCACAGGTGAGGCCACTTTTGGAATACCATGTACAATTCTGGTCACCCTTCGATAGGAAGAATGTTGTTAAACTTCAGAGGGTGCAGAACGTTACCTGGTTCGGCAATCTTGAGCTATAGCGAGAGGCTAAATAGGATGGGGCTATTTTCCCCGGAGCGTCGGAGACTGAGGGGTGACCTTATAGAGGTTTATAAAATCATGAGGGTTATGGATAGGGTGAGTAGACAAGGTCTTTTGGCCAGGGTAGGGAAGTCCAAAACTAGAGGGGCATAGATTTAAGGTGAGACAGGAAAGATTTAAAAGGGACCTGAGGGGCAATGTTTTCACAGAGTGTGGCACATGGATGGAATGAGCTGCCAGAGGCTGGTACAATTACATTCAAAAGACATCTGGATGGGGACATGAATAGGAAGGGTTTCCAGAGGGATACAGGCTAAATGCTGGCAAATGGGACTAGACTAATTTAGGATATCTGGTCGGCACAGATGAGTTGGACTGAAAGGTCTGTTTCCGCGCTGTAAGACACCGTAACCTCCAGTCAGTCCCCGTTTGGAGAACAGTATTCGGTCGACCGCAGTTTTGGCTTTGGGTCGTGGTGGTGGGGGAAGATGCGGGGAAAGAGAAGAAGGTTGACACGAGGTAAAGATGTTCATTTAAGGAGCCAGCGACACACGATGGGCCAAATGACCTCCTTCTACCAGTATGGCACTCGGTCCAATTCACCAGAACAAGCTCCCAGGGCGAAGAGGTCACGAAGACTCATGCACACCCTTCACAACAGGAAAGTAACCTTCCATTCGCGGTAGCATCCTGGTAAATCTCTTCTGAACCCTTTCCAGCTTCATAATATCCTTCCTATAACATGGTGGCCAGAACTGGACACAGCGCTCCAGAAGAGGCCTCACCAACGTCCCTGTACAACCTCAACATGACATCCCCAACTCCTACACTCAAAAGGTCTGAGCAACGAAGGCAAGCGTGCTAAACGCCTTCTTAACCACCCTGTCTACATGTGACACTGACGTCAAAAAATTATGTACCTGAACGCCGGGGTCTCTATTCCACAACATTACCCATGATTGGTTATGGAGGGGGGGGACCTCGGGAGGAGCGGAGATCTTAATGACCTCCTGTTTAACAGGCTTGGCGGAGGTGAGGGGCGGGGGGGTTGCTGAATGGCCTTCTCCCGGTCCTAATTTGTGTGCCGCGACTCCACGTTACTCCCAACGACCGCAAAAACAAAAAGGAAGGCAGCACGACACACCAGAGACAGTCAGTACAGAAGCTTAACTCAGTCAGTTTAATAGTTTTATTTTTGTCTTCGTCTGGCCCGCAGTCAGGCCAGACAACTTAACTCGACAGCTCGATCGGACTGAACTCAAAAGACTCGAGGCGCTCCCAGTCTCTCTCCGGGGAGTGCAGGAGGGTCGGTGGAAGTGGGTGAGGGGAGCCACCTTCGGAAGGAACTAAGCGTTTATACATCCTTAATTTAAGAACAAAAAAATACCAATAGCAAACTGCCAACTCCAAACGGGAAGGATTATCAGCAGCGGAAAGGTGGGCTAGGGAGGGGGTGGTGGGGATGGCACCCACTGGAGGGATAGGTTTGGAGAGGCAGACGAGCTGGGAGGGGTTCTGGAAAGTTTGCTCACGCACACGCACTCGGGAGGGGAAATACGCTGCCCGCGTCCCTCTCTCCGCTTGACACGACTCGCATCTTCCATCACCGGCTCCCGCCCCTCAGGGCCAGCACCAGATGTAGCACGGATCCTCCCTGAATCTTGTAGTCCGCCGCTGTTTTCTCATCGTTCCTGAGGGGGGGAGGGGGAAGAGAGGGTAGGCGATCACGTGACCTGAACGCTGCCCAACGCTCCCCCTCCCTACTCCAACCCCCCACCCCATTCAAACCTCACCCTCACCTTCCCCAAAAACCCGGAAGTCCGTGGCTGTCACTTGCCCTCCGCCCCATGCTTCCTTGGTCCAAGTCACGCAATCGCAAAATTCCTTCAGCGTGGAAACAGCCCTTCGGCTCTGCACCGACCCTCCAAACAAATCCCACCCAATTCCCCCACCCACCAACTAAATCCACCTCCCTGAACACTACGGGGCAATTTAGCGTGGCCAATCCACCCTAACCCGCACATCCCTGGGCACTATGGGTAATTTCCCATGGCCAATCCACCCCTAACCCGCACATCTTTGGACTGTGGGAGGAAACTGGCACGCCCGGAGGAAACCCACGCAGATACGGGGAGAGAATGCGCAAACTCCGCGCAGACAGTGGCCCGAGGCAGGAATCGAACCCGGGTCCCTGGTGCTGTGAGGCAGCAGCGCTAACCGCTGAGCCATCCCTTCAGAGCGTCAAACCTCCAGGTCAACATTACCCCAAGGGCCAGCCCTGAGGGACTGAGTTGTACCGATGTACAAAATCCCATGACCGCAGCTTGTTGGGGGAAAGTGAGAATGTCTTGCAAGTGCTGCTTATTGCCCCCAGCTAACATCCTTAACAAGAAATGCTTGATTGATCATATTTCCGGCTGTGAGATCTTCCTGTGCCCTTCCTGCACGACAATGGGAACGTGTGGCCCAAATTAGGGCTTACACTTCTTTTTCTTTGCAATCTATCTTTCCGTTTTAAAAACTGCAATTTGTAACCTTCGATCAACAGGGGACATCGGATTGAGAAATTGATGAGCAACTGACATAGTGCAAGTCAGAAAAGCCCAGGTTTATTACCTAAGTAAAAACTAAAAGAACTGCGGATGTCTAAATCAGGAACAGAAACAGAAGTTGCTGGAAAAGCTCAGCAGGTCTGGCAGCACCTGTGAAGGAAAAAGAAAAATCAGATGCTGCCAGACCTGCTGAACTTTCCCAGCAACTTCTATTTCTGTTCCAGGTTTATTACCTGTCAGTTTTGCAAGGTTGAGGGATGACAAACGTAAAAGGTGAACAAATAATCCATTTCTAAACTTGCAACGTAGCCAGGGCGTTTGAAAGAGTCTTTTTAAAAAAAAACACTCCGCTGGCAATATAAGTTATTCACAAATGTGACAGGATCAGAGCTCCACTGAAGTTAAAATAAATGGTGCACATTTTCGTTCAATTCGGTCCAGATCAGTGATTCAAGTCTTGGCTGGATTGATGTTTTGTTTGATTTGTGCACATTTGCTGACAGAAAAAAGCAGTTTAGTTTAAGATTTGAGGGGGCAAATCCGGAAGATTTGTCCCGGGAGAAAGCGGTTTGAACAGTTAGCTCGGAAGGACTTATGGCGGAGACAGGTAAATATGAACATCCAAAGTCAGAGCCAAGGAGCTCAAGAATCCACCATCGCGAGGTATTTTAGAAAACTGGAGGATCGTGAAAATAATGGGAGAAATCGCTAATTTACAGCTCGAGGAATGGCTGAAACACAAAGGAAAATTAAAGTACATTCTGCAGGGCTGTGGCTTATCAATTCCGTTGGTCCTTTAAAGATTTTGTTGGATAACTGAAACCAATCGGGGGGGGGGCGAGAGGGCAAGAGCGCGCGCGAGAGAGGGCGAGTGTACGTGGGGGTCGGGTGGAGGAGAGAGTTTTCAGCGAACAATAAGGAGGCGAACCAAGTTTGTAGCATCAGCATTTGTGAACTATACTGTGAAGGCATGCGGATTGCTTCACAGAACGCTTTCAGTGAAACGTCGAGGCGTAATCTTGTCAGTTAACATTTGAAGATAAAAAGTCTTTTGCTTAGCAATGGAAGAGTTTTCACAGGATTACAGCGGAGAACACTTCAAAGAAAATACCTGACGTGCTCTGGGATGTCCGCAAGGTGCTACGGAAATGCAGCCCTGCCATCCTTTTGTAAAAACAAAACTTTGACTTGACCGCGTCTTATTGTGAGATCTGGCTGCGAGCGAGGTGGCCATTATTTCCTACATCATAACGGGAGGCGATGGCCTAACGGTGTTACCACTAAACTATTAACCCAGAGACCCAGGTAACGTTCTGGGGCCCAGGTTCAAATCCTGCCGTGGCAGTTGGTGGAATTTGAATTTTAAAGAAAAATCTGGAATTAAGAGTCTCATGACTGTCGGAAAAAACCCACCTGGCTCACTAATGTCCTTTAGGGAAGGAAACTTGCCATCCTTACCTGGCCTGGCCTACATGTGACTCCACACGCACAGCTCATGTGGTTGACTCTTAACTGCCCTCTGGGGCAATTAGGGACAGGGTGATAAATGCCGGCTTGGCCAGTGACGCCCCTCATCCTGTGAACGAATAAACTATAAAAAAAAAAGTGGCGGGCCGTCACGAGGGTTCAGACGACTGCAAAGCCCCTTCCTCCCTGCTCTGTACTCACATCTGCTTGCCGCTGTAGATGAGACGCTGCTGCTGAGGGGGAATACCCTCCTTCTCCTCCACCCGCTCTTTTATTCGCTCCACCTGCAGTTCAGGAACGACACGTCAGATGAATCCAGTCTGCCGCGTTCCCCAAGCCTCACGGTTTGAAACATATTTCCTCCCCCCCCCCACCCTTGGGGCCCTTAGAGATGGTAGCAGCCGTGGGTTCAGAAGTTGCCGAGTGTGGCGAGTCGATGTTGTAGATGGGACACCACAGTGCGTCAGTGAATAAGAGGGAGTGTTGAGAGCAGCAGATAAGGGTGTCAAACACACAAGCTGCTTTGTCCACAGGATGCTTCTTCTCTTGGTGGGGGGGGTAAACTCAGGAAGGAGAGAGACGTGGGGGCAGGCTCACAGAATATATTCAAGGCTGAGTCAGCAACAGACTGGGCCAGTGGGCTGAGGAAAGGCAGACGGAGTTTAATTGAGATAAATGCAAGGTGTTGCGTTTTGGTAGGTCAAAGCAGGGCAGGGCTTACACAGTGAATAGTAAAGCCCTGGGGGAGTGTTGCCGAACAAACAGGTCTAGCGGGTACAGGTACATAGCTCCTCGAAAGCAGAGCCGCAGATAGACAGGGCGGTGAAAGAGGCTTTCGGAATGCTTGCTTTCATCGGCCAGAGCACTGAGTTTAGGAGTTGGGACATCTTCTACAGGATGTTGGTGAGGCCACATTTGGAGTACTGCGTACAGTTCTGGTCACCCTACTGTAGGAAGGATATTATTAAACCGGAGAGAGTGCAGAAAAGATTTACCAGCTGTCCCCTGGACTGCAAAGTTGAGGAGAGGCTGGATGGGCTGGGACTTTTTTCCCTGGAGCATCAGAGACTGCGGAGTGACCTTATAGAGGTTTATAAAATAAAATAGCCAACAGCTTTTCCCCCATGGTAGGGGAGTCTAAAACTAGAGGGTATAGGTTTAAGGTGAGAGGGGAGTGATACGAAAGGTCCAGAGGGACAATATTTTCCCCCATACAGAGGGTGGCGAGTGTCTGGAACACACTGCCAGAGGTAGTGGTTGTAGCTGTCATTTAAGAAACATTTGGACAGGGACATGGATGGGATAGGAATGGAGGGACAGGGACCAAACGCAGGCAAATGGGACTAGATTAATTGTGTAAACTGGGTGGCATGGGCAAGTGGGGCCGAAGGGCCTGTTTCCACGCTGTAAACCTGTATGACTTTAAGAGATTCAAAAGCTACGTGGTTCGGGCTGGAGGGGAGAAACAGAGAGCAAGAAGGCGGATTCAAGGCCGTAATAAGATCAACCAAAAGTCAATGAATGGCAGAGCAGGCTCGAGTGGTCTACTTCTGCACCATTTTTTTGTAAAAATTGACTTATTGTTGGCATTGACCTTCTTCTGGGTTTTTGGAGCTGCACTCTTCCAGGCAATTGGAGAGTATTCTATCACACTCCTAACCCACGCCTCGTAGGCGGAGCGGCTTCAGAGAATCGGGAGGTGAGCTACCAGCCACGGAGTTCCCAGCCTCTGACCCGTAGCTGCGCTGTTTAATGCGGCTGGTCCAACTCAGGGTGGGTTGCGGGGCATGAAAGAGACTTTCCGGTCAGCGGAAGGAAGAGAGATGGAAACAAACGTTTCACGTGACTGAAACAAGGTTGGGGAAGAGAATCAACAGACAAGTGGAAATACGTTTTAATTGACAAGGACATATGGGCTCGGAGAAAGGAACAAGGAGTGTGCTAAACGAATAGCTCTTCCAAAAAGCTAGCACAGGCATGGTAGGCTCTTTCTGACCTGTATTATTGTGCGCCTGGGAGAGGCTCAAACTCTTTTGGTTTCCGAATTGCAATGGAGCAACCTTTAAGGACTCATTCCACGTCCTTCAAATGGAATAAATGCACAGCATCACCATCCTGTTCGTTTGATCCCACTCGTATTGGGCACAGGAGACAGCGAGAGGGAGAGGCAGGAGCAAGGTGGCATGAGAGAGAAAAGGCAAAACATCAGAGTGCGGCAAAAAAGCCAAGAGACAAGGCAGTGAGTAAGAGGTACAATGCAACAAGAGAGAAGCAGTGAGTGAATTCAGGAGGTATGGTTTGCAGATGACACCAAAAATTGGAGGTGCAGTGGACAGCGAAGAAGGTTACCTCAGTGTACAATGGGATCTTGATCAGATGAGCCAAGGAGTGGCAGATGGACTTTAATTCAGAAAAATGTGAGGCGTTGCATTTTGAGGAGGCAATCCAGGGCAGGACATATACAGTTAATGGTAGTGTCTTGGGGAGAGTCGCTGAACAAAGAGACCTTGGGTCGCAGGTACATAGTTCCTTGAAAGTGGAGTCGCAGGTAGACAGGGCGGTGAAGTAGGCGTTTGGTACGCTTGCCTTTGTTGGTCAGTGCGTTGAGTATAGGAGTTGGGAGGGTCATGTTGCGGCTGTACAGGACATTGGTTAGGGCCACTTTTGGAATACTGCGTTCAGTTCTGGTCTCCCTGCTATAGGAAGGATGTTGTGAAACTTGAAAGGGTTCAGAAAAGATTTACAAGGATGTTGCCGGGGTCGGAGGATTTGAGCTGTAGGAAGAGGCTGAATAGACTGGGGCTGTTTTCTCTGGAGCGTTGGAGGCCGAGGGGTGACCTTATGGAGGTTTATAAAATCATGAACGGCATGGATAGGGCGAATAATCAAGGTCTTTTCCCCAGGGTAGGGGGATCCAAAACTAGAGGGGCATCAGCTGAAGGTGAGAGGGGCAAGATTTAAAAGGGACCTAAAGGGTAACTTTTTCCCGCAGAGGATGATGCGTGTATGGAATGAGCTGCTAGAGGAAGCGATGGGGGCTGGTACAATTACAACATTTAAAAGGCATCTGGACAGGGACATGAATAGGAAGGGTTGAGAGGGATTTGGGCCAAGTGTTGACAAATGGGGCTGGATTAATTCAGGATGATCTGATCTGCATGGATGAGTTGGCCTGAAGGGTCTGTTTCCATGCTATATGATCTTATGACACTAATGTCATTGGACTAGCAATCCAGATCCAAATGTTCTGGGTACACAGGTTCAAATCCCACCCATGGCAAATTATTAAATTTACATGCGTCATAAAAAAACGCTGCCCTTATTAATGATCACAGAACCACTGCCGATTGGTTCGCTAATGTTCTCGAGGGAAGGAAATCCGTCAATCCTCTTGTGTTGTAGCTACACATGACTCCGGACCCACAAAAATAAGTGGCTGTACTCCTAACCACCCAGTGGGCAATTAGGGATGAGCAATAAATATTGATCTTTCCAGCGTCAGCCATACCTGATAAACCACTAAGAAAAAAGTGAGATGTTGCAAATGAGAGAGAGAGAGAGAAGGGGAGAGCAAGGTGGCCAGAGACAAGGGCGAGGGGATATGAGCAATAGTGAGAAAAGTGAGGGTTGGTGAGCGAGACAAAAGAGATGGACAACGGGACAAATGTGGGCCGGAGAAAAGACAGATGAGGAACAGCGAGGGATTAGGACATGTACGTTGAAAAAAGACACATAAGCGACGGTTTCGTACAGACTACTGAGAAATGCATCCAGCAAGACAAGGTCAAGACAGAAAAAAAGTGTGGAGATCTCACCTTATCAGTGGGCTCAATATCGATTTCAATCTCCTTCCCAGTGAGTGTCTAAAAGGAGAAAAAAAAACACAATAAAGGTCAGACCGACAGGTTACAATGCTCCAAGATAGCTCCCCCTCCACCACAACCTTTCGAAAACAAAAATTTCCCTTCACCTCAGCCCAAAAACATCTCTCCCTTATCCTGAAAGAGTGCAACGTGACCAGCTCTATTCGCAATCTCTTCTGCACTACATGCTCTTACCCCAGAGACCCAGTGACAAGATTGACTCTTCACAGGCCTCTGCAATGGTGGAGTGAGCCCTTCAGTTGTATCAAACTGCTAGGGAAAAGCCAGTCGAGAATAAAACTGGGCAGCGATTTCTCTACCACAGCTGACAATGGCACACCCAGCCCTGTAGACCCTGCAAAGTCTCCCCTGCCTATTGCTGGTGTATGGTGGTGGTGGTGATGGTATGTCCCAGACATTTCCATCACCAGCCCTGTGCCACCTGCTGGCTAGAAGGACCGGTGTTCGGAGTCCTCAACGTCGCCACGAGACTTTCCTGGGAGTGATCAGGTTAGACATGGGCAAGGAGACCTCCTGCTGACTACCACACACCGTCCTCCCTCGGCTGACGAATCAGCGTGCCTCCACGTTGAGCAACTCATGAAGGAAGCACCCTGAGGGCATAAAACGTACGCTCGCTGTGGGGGCTTTCAATGTCCACGACCAAAGAATAATGTGGCAGCAGCACTATTTATCGAGCTGGTCAGGTCCTAAAGGACAGTTTCCAGACTGGGTCGGCAGCAGATAGTGAGGGAACCAACGAGCAGGAAAAACATCCTTGACCTCATCCTTACCAACCTGCTGGCCTGCAGATACATCCATTCACAACAATACGGGTAAGAGAGACCACTGCACAGACAGAGTTGTAAAGCATATAAACAGACCCTTCGGCCCAACTCGTCCGTGCCGACCAGATATCCTAAACTAACCTAGTCCCATTTGCCAGCATTTGGCCCGTATCCCTCTAAACCCTTCTTATTCATACACCAATCCATCTGCCTTTTAAAATGTTGTAACTGTACCAGCCTCCACCCACTTCCTCTGGCAGCTCGTTCCATACACGCACCACCCTCTGTGTGAAAAATCTTTCCCCTCTCTCACCTTAAACCAATGTCCTCTAGTTTTGGACACCCCTAAAAGACCTTGGCTATTCACCCTATCAATGCCCCTCATGATTTTATAAACCTCTACAAGGTCACCCCTCAACCTCTCACTCCAGGGAAAATAGCCCCAGTCTGTTCAGCCTCTCCCGATAGCTCAAACCCTCCAACCCTGGCAACATCTTTGAAAGCGTGCAGAAAAGATTTACAAGTTTAAAGTCTTTCAGATAGCAGGGAGACCCAAATTGAACACAGTATTCCAGAAGTGGCCCTAACCAATGACCTGTACAGCTGCAACATGACCCTCCCAACTTCTACACTCAATGCACTGACCAATAAAGGAAAGCGTACCAAAGGCCTCCTTCACTGCCCTGTCTACCTGCGACTCCACTTTCAAAGACCAATGAGCCTGCACTCCCAAGGTCTCTTTGTTCGGGAACACTCCCCTTGTGGAGACAAAGTCCCACTTTCACACTGGGAAGACCCTCGGTAGTGCCACAATCACCGTGTTAAATGGGACAGACTTCCAGCAGATGTAGCAACTCAAGGCTGGGGCATCCAGGAGGCGCTGTGGGCCATCAACAACAGCAGGATTGTACTCCAGCACAATCTGTAACCTCATGGCCCGGCATATCCCCCACTCAACCATTACCATCAAGCCAGGGGATCAACCCTGGTTCAATGGAGAGTGCAGGAGGGCATGCCAGGAGCAGCGCCAGGCATAACTTGAGGTGTCAACCTCGGGAGGATGTGTTCCCTGATCGGGGAGTCACAACCAGCGGGCACAGTAACAGGAGAAATCATTCAGGACTAAGATGAGGAAACATTCCTTCACTCAGAGTAGCGAGCCTATGAAACTCTCCACGATAGAAGGTGACAGAGACCAAGTGACTGAATCTATTGAGAGAGAGATAGACACATTTTTAGCTGTTAAAGGTATGGGGAAAAAGCAGGAATATGGCATTGAGGTAGAGGATCAGCCATGATAATATCAGATGGCAGGACAGTCTTTATGGGCTAAATAGCCGACTCCTAGTTTCTAATCTTAGCTACAACAACTTGAGTGCAAATAGCTTAAGAACTAAGTGATCCTGCAACCAATGGATCAGATCTAAGCTCTGCAGTCCTGCCACATCCAATCGTGAATGGTGAGGGACAATTAAGCAATGCACTGGAGGAGGCAGGTCTACAAATATCCCTGTCCTCAACGATGGAAGAGCCCAGCACATCAGTGGAAAAGATAGGGCTGAAGCATTCGTAACAATCTTCAGCCAGAAGTGCCGAGTGCATGATCCAGCTCGGCCTCCTCCAGTGGTCCCCAGCGGTCCCCAGCATCACAGATGCCAGTCTTCAGCCGATTCGATTCACTCCACGTGATGTCCAGGAACAGCTGAAGCCTGGATACTGTCAAGGGCTATGGGCCCTGACAAACAATCTGGCAATAATACCAAAGACCCAAGCTCCAGAACTAGTGGCAGCCTGACCAAAGCGCTCAGCAGGTACCTAACAATGTGGAAAAGTTACCAGATATACCCTGTCCACAGAAAACAGCTCGAACACAACCTGGCTAACTACTACACCATCAGTCAACTCAAACATCAGTCGGCATTAATTACACAGCAATAACCAGCTCACTAACAAACTATTTAGGTTTTGCAAGGGCCACTCAACTCCTGACAGCGTTGGCTCAAATATGGACAAAAGAGCGAAATTCCAGAGGCTAGGTCAGCGTGATAGCCCTTGGCATCAAGGCGAGATACGACCGACTGTGCCAGAGGAACCCTGGCTAAATTGGAGAAAACTCTGTGGCTTGCAGTCAGAGCAAGACAGTTGTGGTTTTTGGAACCCGATCATCTCAGCCCGAGGACATCTGTGCAGGGGTTCCTCGGGGTAGTGTCATAGGCTGAAATTTCTCCAGCGGCTTCTTAATTAATCTTCCTCCATGAGGTCAGAAATGATGTTTGCATGCGCTCAATGCACGATGCAAAGTGTGCAACATTACCATTTAGCTTTGATCTTGGATGTTTGAATTTTGATCTGGTAGCATAAGGGGTTTTGGTGTGGGCCTGAAGGAGCTTAACGATTCATTTCCAATTATTTCTGTAGCCACGGCAATTTCTATTAAACAGGTTTGAAGGAGAAAGGCTGCAAGAGCGAATGTGTTTTAGTTGACATTAGGATGCGTGCACGAATGAACAAAGTACAGTCTATTACATTAGGCTTTCTGACACAAGATTCTGGACTTAGCCGAAGCATTTGGATTAAAACCCTGAAAGGATTATCTGAAGCTGAGCAAGTTTAAACTCAGTTGTATGAAGACACCAGGAAGAGGCGATCGGATTATCAAGACTGGGAGCTGTAGTCACAGTTAAACTAAGTCTATTGAGGTGATAGAGAAGGAAATATTCTCTGGTAAGAATATGGTAAAGGTGCTTTTGGGGTATGTAAAGGACTGTTTTGGGAATTATATTTCTGTGTTTCAAAGTCTTTAAAATTTACACTTTACATATGCAGTTTAGTTTATTCTATAATGATCTTCGTTTCTTTTGCAAAATAAACTTCTGCTTAATTGTTAAACTCAGATGAGCAATATTGCTTGCTTATATTTCAGAGAGAGATCACCCTGCTAAAATCAGAATGAAAAAACCTCTGACTGAGCCAGACTTTAGTCTGGAATTACAAAGGAATGAGGGCATCAGCTTAATGCTGATTACAGAATATTTGTTATCTCTGTGTCTTCTCCCATTCCCACCCTCCCTAGCCCACCATGATAGGGCTCACCTTCACTTTGATCAACATGCTGCTGTAACCCTGTATCTGTACCCGCTTCTCTCTCTCTCTCTTTCTCTTCACTCTTTCACCGCCTGGGCCCTGCGCTCGATCACATCCGGGTCAGGAGGTGAAGGGCTGGGTCACGTCTCCCAGGACGACAGCCAATCAACACACGCCTCGCTCTCAGCGCCACAGACAATCGGAACTTTCCATCAAAACCCACCATCGATCAAGTCTATTTTATATAGAATACAAGTGTGTACGAATCTGATTGCTCCATTCCCCTTGTGTCTGGGGCTACATTTTGCCAATTGAGGGAGAGATTTAAAAAAAGAATCCGAACACCTCTTTTTGGGACGGGAACTAGATGTTGCACGACGGGAATTGTAGTCCTGCCGTGCCCAACAGGGCCGCGCGGGGGAAGGGGGAAGCGTAGGGGATCGGGACTACGATACCCAGGGGACACCGCGCGGCAGGCCCGTCGGGGTCAGGGGAGGCGGAGGCGGTGGACTGCTCCTCCCATCGAGGAGGCGGGCGGCAAGCAGGAAGGGTGCGCGCATGCGCGGTCACGGCATTTCCCACCCCGCCCTGAAGGCCCGTTGCTGTTGATCAGAGAGAGACAGCGAGGGGGGAGGGGGAAACTTGGAGACCACCAGCTGCAGCCTCTGAGAAAGCGGCGGGGGAAGAGGGGAAGTGGTCACGTGTCGGGTCGGCCCTTTCCCGCTCTGACTAACGGTCGAAGTTGACTGGAGGGTCACGTGCTTCTTTTTTCCAGTTGGCGTAGTTAAGGGAGTAGAGTCACGTGACGGCAATACTCCCCCCCCCCCCCC